GTCCCTCACAGTGGGATTTGGGGAGAACCTCAGGAAGATGGGGCCAGGGGCCTGGGAAGGGCCGAGGCGTGGGTCCTCAGAGACACGGGAGACGGGAGGGAGTGAGGGCAGCGCACAGAAGGCTGGGGGAGTCGCTGCCCGCCGGCCCTCGTGAGAGGCTGGGGAGAGTGGCGTGCAGGGTCGGGCTGGGTGGGCGTGCTGTGGCCCCTGCAGGAGGGGCTCCTCAGGACAAAGACCCCGAGTTCAGTGGGGAGGGCTCTTCCTGGGAGGAAGCACAGCTGCTGGGGGCCCTGCAGGCCCCGATGGAAGTGATCTTTGATGTGTCTGCCCATTGGTGGGTCCTGGACATGCAGAGGTGTTTGGGTTTTTTGGCTTGTTCATTTTTTTTTTTTTTAATTTATTTATTTGTTTGAAAGGCGGAGTTACAGAGAGAAAGAGAGGGAAAGACAGAGAGAGACAGATCTTCCATGTGCTGGTTCACTCCTCCAGTGGCTGCAGTGACTGGGTTTGGGCCAGACTGAAGCCAGGAGCCAGGAGCTTCACCCAGATCTCCAGGTGGGCACAGGTGCACACACCCAGTAATACAGGAGCATGGTGTCTTTGTAGCGCTTGAGAGGGTAGGGGAAGGTGAGGTGTCGCTTCCCCTCCCGCGCCCTCCCCGGGGGCCGCCGGCTGGTGAGCCTCTCTGAGCCGCATTCACGACTGTCCACGCTCTCTCCTTGACTGTGAGTGCCCCGTCCTTGTGTGTTAACTTGCTGCTTCCGCCTGACCCAGCCTGGCCTTGCTCTGTAGATCCGTAGCAGGCCTGCCGCAGGCTGTGGGAGTGTGTCCGTAAGGGGGATGTGCAGTGAGCTGTGTGGCGTGCCCCTGACTGTGGCTGTGTCTAGGTTGTTTCTCACGGTTGCGAATGTGAAACACGCAGTATTTCTTACAATATGTTCCTCACAGTGGAAGTGGCAGAGAGCATGTGTGATAGATAATGCTGCGTAAACCTTTTAAACTTACTTCTCGGGGCCTGCACTGTGGCGTAGCGGGTAAAGCCACCAGCCGCAGTGCCAGCATCCCATATGGGTACGGGTTCCAATTTCAGTATATGTGCTGCTGAAGCAAGCACATGGGGTCGATTCGAGTCCCGGCTGCTCCACTTACACTCCAGCTCCTTACTAATGCACCTGGGAAAGCAGTGGAGGGTGGCCCAAGTGCTTGCACCCCTGTACCCACGTGGGAGACCCAGAGGACACCCCTGGTTCCTGGCTTCAGTCTGGCCCAGCTCCAGCCATTGCAGCCTTTTGGGGAGTGAACCAGCAGATGGGAGATTTCTCTGTCTCTCACTCTCTGTGTAACTCTCTTTCAAATAAAAAATAAATAAATGTTTAAAAAATAATAAATTTATATCTCCTTAAGGCCTTGAAGCAACACAGGCAAACTGAAAACATTGAAATATTTTCTAGCAACTTGTACCGTCTGCAGGTGGCTATTTGTCAAAGTTGGCGGTTTAAACCAAAGTCCTTAAAATCACATCGAAAAGTACTTAAAGCTCCTCATGCCCTGTGGACTCCATTTTCCCCATTTCCCTCTTTGAAAGCCCACACCCCCCTGTGCGTGGCAGTCACAAATTCTGAGTTCAGGAGCAGCATTTTCCATCAAAGTAAAGCTCCCACTTTCCTGGGGCCCCCAAGGAATAATCTGGTTCGGTTTCCCCTGTGGCTTATGCCGGTTCCCTTCTGTGTTTTAAGGCCACGGTGCTAATCCGCGAGGTTCTTCCCCACTGCCCTCTGGTATCTGGGGTAGTCCCACCCACCCGTACCCTATGAGAGCCCGTATCTTTTTCTTAGCCGTCTCCACAGTTGTGGGGATTTTGTTGTTGCTGTCCGTCTTGTCTCACTTAGATTTGTCCGTAAAACACTGAGCTTCAAGTTCTGAAGTCCCCAAGCCTGGCTGCCGGAAGCCCGGGGTGCGGGGGGGGGGGGGGGGGGGGGGGAGGCAGGGATGCTCCGGGTGCTTTCTGCTGCAGGCAGTCTGCAGGTGTCCCAAGCCAGCCCCGGCCGCCTCTGACGCCGTCTCTGACCAGGCGCCCTCCGGAAGCCGGTGGGGGACGGCTGGGGCGCAGCCCCGCTCAGAGAACCCACTTTCAAAGGGAGGGGCAGGAGCTGCTTTAATGTAGAGATCTGCACACACAGTCCCTGCCGTGTCTGATCTCCTGCCACGCCTCGTTCCGTGCTCCGCTGGGCTTCGCGGAACAAGTCCTTACAGGCGCCCGCGGCGCGCGGCAGGGAAAGCCAGAGTGTCGCGGAGGAAATAAGGTCATCGCTCAGAGCAGTAATTCCCACAATTGACTTGAAAAGGCGCTCTCTCCTCCAATTAGGCTTCTCCGCGCCCCGCCTTGTCTCGGCGCTCCACCAGCTGTACACCCAGGTGACGGCCGGAGAGCAAAGAGCGAAAATGCAGTGAGCAGCCGAGGAGCTGCCCCCACTGACTAAGTCACGCGCACGGTGCAGTCGCTCACCTCCGGTTTTGAATTAATAAACACAAAAGCTGACCTAAGTCTTGATTCCATCCGGCCTGCGGCGTGGAAGCTTGTCCTCTAGAGGACTTAATGGCCACACTCCGCCACACGGCCCGGGGCAGCGTTTACTGTCTCACCTCCCTCATGACCACCTGCGAAGGATAAATCCTTCCGTCTCAGGGACGTTGAAAGGATTAATTAGCTAGTCTGCAAAGGGCTCTGAAGATGAGAAGTGTTTCCAAAGTGCTTCTTAATCACACAATCGCCTAGGACAGAGCACAGCTGTCCTGCCAGCCACTTTGCCCCATTCACAAAAGAAGGCGTGGCCAGGGAGCGTGCCGGTGTGCACGTCAGACCCGGGCCTCGGGACTCCCCCCACGCATCGCTGGCTGGCCGGGGGCTGCGGGGCTGCGTTCCACCCGGTAATTAGCTCCAAGATCTCGGGGCGGCGAGAAGGCCCTTGCACACACCAGCCTTTGTTCTATTTTTTATTCGGTTGGACTTTTGGAACTGACATTTGGCTGCGGGACGGTCCGGGCAGGGAGGGAAGTGAACTTCTGTCTTTTCCTCCCTCCTGTCTCTTGTCCCAGTCTCACCAATGGGACTGTGCTGCTTCCGCCATTTCAAGAAGGGGAGAGCTCACTGTTCAGACTCACGCAAACTGTTTTTCTTTGGGCTTAATTCAGACGTCCCCTGAGACAAGTCAGCAGGTGGGCCAGTGTTCCGGCCGCTAGTGCAACACAGTGGCGGGAAGTACTCTGAACTGCTGTCGAATTGTTGGAAAGCCGCGGTGGGACTGTGTCAGAGAGGACAGGGATCGCGGGGCACGGCAGACTGTAAGACACAGAGGACAGGGATCGCGGGACACAGCAGACTGTAAGAGAGACACACAGGACAGGGATCGCAGGACACGGCAGACTGTAAGAGAGACACACAGGACAGGGACCGCGGGGCACGGCAGACTGTAACAGAGACACACAGAGGACAGGGACCGCGGGGCACAGCAGACTGTAACAGAGACACAGGACAGGGACCGCAGGGCACGGCAGACTGTAAGAGAGACACACAGGACAGGGACCGCGGGGCACAGCAGACTGTAACAGAGACACACAGAGGACAGGAACCGTGGGGCACGGCAGACTGTAACAGAGACACAAGTTGTGTAAAGAGGCCCTCACAATGTGGAAAACATGGCCATGAAATGAACTGAGGCTTGGATTTGACGTGAAGTGTGCCAGAGGAATGTCGGGTAAGGGGTTGAAAGGGAAGCTCCCTGGAGAGAGAGCGGGAGCAGACTGAGTTGGCAGTGTCCCTGGAGTGGAGCGGGCCCCTCTCCTGCCGGCGTGGTCAGAGGGACCCATGGTCCCCAGGAGGAAGCCTTGGTGATGCCGGTGGCGGAGAAGTCCGCCTGCCCCAGCTCTTGCCTGCACCTCACCTGCAGAACTGGTGTTCACTCCTCGGGACAGGGTGGGGGACCGGCCGCGCGATTCACACGCCTCGCTCGTGCGTGGTTTAAATATAAAGTGCCTTGGAATCATAAATCCCGTTGACCATTGCCATAAATTACAGGCTTCAGAAATATATTGCTCCCTGAGTTTTGGCTTCAGAAATACAATTTAACAAGGTGAGTGGTGACCGTTGAGGTTATTGGTGCTGACTCCAAGTGTTCAGTTAGGGCTGTCTTTGCCAGCGTGGTGTTTCCCATGTCTGTTGAGCGTGAGCAGTGCGCGAGAGTGCAGACTCCTTCCCATCACTTGGGTTAGTGGATGGTGTTTGCTGTGCTTATCACATGTATAAATTATTTTTCTTCATGTGATAAATCCTCAGTAAAACCCACTTCAGATGGTGAGGCAAAACCTAGCATAGGGACAAGCATTTGGCTAGCAGTGGTGATGCCAACAGGGACACCTGGGTCCCCTGTGGGGCACCTCCAGCTCTTGAGCCCAGCGTCCTGCTGATGGTGCAGACCCCCGGAGGCAGCGGGATGGCTCAGGTAGTCTGGTTCCTGTCACGCAGGGTGGGGGCCTGAGTTGAATTCCTGGCTCTGAGCTTCAGCCCCCGGCCATTGCAGATGGTTGGGGCTTGAACCAGCAGATGGGAGCTCTCTGTCTCCATCTTTTTTGCCTCTCAAATACATTTAAAAAAATTGTAAAAATTATTTTATTTGAGAGACAGAAAGAGAGATCTTCCACCCGCTGGTTCACTCCCCAGATGACCGCAACAACAGCCTGAGCTGGGCTGACCCAAAGCCAGGAGCCAGGAGCTTCTTCCATGTCTCCCATGCCGGCTTAGGAGTCCAAGCACTTGGGCCATCTTCTGCTGCTTTCCCAGGCCATAGCAGAGAGTTGGGTTGGAAGTGGAGCAGCTGAGACTAGAACCGGCACCCATATGGGATGCTGGCACCTCAAGCCAGGGCATTAGCCTGCTGTGCCACAGCGCCAGCCCCAATTTTTTTAAAACATAATGCTAACTAATTCTTTTAAACTTTCTACAGCAAAACTCTTGAAGATCGTTTGAAACTTGAAGCGAAAAATGGGACATTGAGTGTATCAGATACCACCGTTGGCAGCAAGCAACTGACATTCACATTAAAGAGGGTAAGTTGTTGCTAATATTACTTGTCTGTATTGTGTGCATCGGGCCTGGAGCTGCCTGCCCAAGCGTTTCCCTCGTGGGAAGCTGTGTTCCTCGCAGCCAGAGCCCCTGCCGGACTGAGAGCCAGGAGTGCCACCAGGGAGGGGCGGGAGGCCGGCCTTCCTGCCTGGGAGTGGCTCTGTGGTGATGGCCAGCTGCCTCGGGTGCTGGCTCACTTGTGGCCTCAAGTGCTGGCTTGGAAGCAGAGTCCTGGCCGTCCGAGGGTAAAAGAAACCTCGTGCGGGCTTTGAAGGAGACCGGGACCTGGCATTCTGATGCTTCGTGACAGTCGGATCCAGCCTGCCGGACGGCAGCTTCAGGAGGCTGGCGACCCCAGTCGTTAGAGGAGTCCGCTGGTTAAATAGGAGCTGTTGTCTGATGAGCGGAACAGCGCGGTTTTCTTTCTCAAACGTTTTCTCATTTTCAGCCAGGCAGCAAGTAGGAAAGAATGATAAAAATGCCACCTGTTTCTTTTTAAAAATTGAGATATAATTTACATAGCATAATGTAAATTTCTTCCTTTTAAAATGTGTAACGCGGTGGTTTTTAGTAGTCTCTAAGTTCAGTAGCCATCACACTCTCTTATTTCAGATCACATTCATCATTCAGAAAGTTCCCCCTACCCGTTAGCGACCCCCATTCCCCAAGCACTCCCAGCCCCTGGCAGCCGCTCCCCCTGCCGCCCCCTAGAGTGGCTGCCCGTGCGTTTCACGTGTGTGGTGTCCACACTCCGTGTCGCATGAGTGCCGTCTGCAGCCCGTGTCACGTGAGTGTGCCTTCTGCAGCCTGTGTGGCGTGAGTGTGCCGTCTGCAGTCCGTGCGGTGTGAGTGTGCCGTCTGCTGTCCGTGTGGCGTGAGTGCCAACGCGCAGTCCGTGTGCTTCCCGCAGCTCCTCTCGGCGAGCCTGGTGGTTTCAGGGCCTGCGTGTTGGGGCAGCAGGGCCTCGTCCCTGCTGTGGCGGGACGGCTCGCTGTGTGGGGCAGCCACGCTGCTCTCCGCGCACCTGCTTGTGGAGTGCTGCGGCTCTTCCCTCTGGAGCACGGAGACTGCTGGGAAAAGCCGTTTCGTGTGAGTGTGTGTGCGTGCGAGGGTCGCTGGCTCACTGTCTGAGGAACTGGTAAGCCCCAGCCGTAGGGCCCAGGCCTCGTTTCTGCTGTTGCTGCCGGCCCTCCTCGTGGCCGGCGCGGGGAGCGGGGGTGCTGACTCTCGGTGATGCTGTCCCTGCTGACTCAGCGGGGGCTTGGCGGCCACTGCCTGCTCCGGAGGGACGGCCGCTCGAGCCTTCACCCGCCCATCTCTGCTTCTTCCAGCATCCCCCGCCTGCACCCAGGAGTCTTGCTGAAGGATAGAAACGTTTAAGTTCTAAGTGAAAGAAACAGTTCTGTGTGGAACAATTGGCACGTTTGTGTTTGTCATTTACAGAAGCCAGAACGGGATGTGCGCGCGGACGAGCTCGTCATGTGCCCTCCCGGCGCACCTTAAAGCGGCTCTCTGTTCCGCTGACGTCCAGGTGCCGTCGAGCGCGAGCCCAGAGCAGCAGGCCAGAGCCCACCCCAGCGGAGGGCGTCTGCAGGGCTTTCCCACTGTTCCTAAAGCTGCAGGTCCTGCGCTGAGCGCCAGTGCATAGCTCGTGGCAGAGTGAAACGAGATGGCTCTGAAATTACCTTTTTGTCAAAAGTAAAAGGAGGGGGACAAGAATGGCTCAGAAAGGCCACATAGCAGAATCAGAGGATTGGAAACTATTTGGGGCATATACCATTATTTAAGCATTTTTTCACACAACACTGTAATCGCTCAGCCTATTTCGCTTGAGACTATATTTAGGACCAGCGCCGCGGCTCACTAGGCTAATCCTCCGCCTACGGCGCCGGCACACCGGGTTCTAGTCCCGGTCGGGGCACCGGATTCTGTCCCGGTTGCCCCTCTTCCAGGCCAGCTCTCTGCTGTGGCCAGGGAGTGCAGTGGAGGATGGCCCAAGTGCTTGGGCCCTGCACTGGCTGCAGCGGCCATTGGGGGGGTGAACCAACGGAAAAGGAAGACCTTTCTCCCTGTCTCACTGTCCACTCTGCCTGTCAAAAAAAAAAGAGAGAGAGACTATATTTAGGTGCTTGTCCGTGTATTCATTTATAGAAATCCTATACCACGGGGGTGATAAATTCAGGTTACATCTTGAGATTTTCCAGTGTTTCCCTATCAGTTAAAGTCAGGAGGAACAAAATCCTTGCTTCCTTGTTACCTAACCCATGTGGTGGGCAAACGGATGAGGCCACAACTCTGACTTGAAAAACGCCCTTTACCGTGGGCACGGCTCCTCGCGGTGTTGCTGGTGCAGGCGTGCCTGCGACGACAGTGAGCGAGCCAGGGGCGAGGACGAGGGAAGAGCCAGCCGGCGTGAGGGGGAGGGGCGGCGCAGAGCCCTCCCGGCACGCGCAGCGGGGCTGTGGTGGTCCCTTTGCTATAGATTTGCCCGCAGCCCCTCCCTGAGCCCCGCCCGGTAGAGAAGGCCCAGGAGAGGCGAGGAGGCACCCACGAGGTCGCGCTGCCTCAGAAGGTGAGTGGGTGCTTCAGCGTGCCGGCCGTGTCGAAGACTTGTCAAAGGACGGCCCTCACCGGAAGGCTCCCGGTTTATCTTTATTGAGCACATTATTTTCCAAAATTATGCAAAGAAGCACTTTGTAAGGGATGTTGATTAATGAGGCAACAACGTATTAGTTGCCCCGTGTTGCCGTCACGATCGCGATGCCGTGTCTGGGCTGCTCGGGGCTGCGGGCTCCCGCCGGGGTCTTCCGAGCGTCCGTGACCGCCCGTGCCCCCTGCCCGCCCAGTGCCGTGTGCTGGGCGCAGGCATGGCTTTCGCTGCTGCGTTTCCCACTCTGTGGAGGGAGGTGGCGGTGGCTGGAGACTAGACGCAGGTAATGACATGATTAGGCGTGGTGAGGGGTCCAGCTACAGAGCACTCGGACTGGCGGCGTTTGTGTGTGTAGTTTTTCAAAATTCATTTATTTTATTTGAAAGAGTCACGGCGGGGGGCGGGGTGGGGGACAGAGAGGTCTTGCATCTGCTGGTTTACTCCCCAGATGGTCTCAACAGCCAGGGTGGGGCCGGGCTGAAGCCAGCAGCCAGGAGCTTCTTCGGGGTCTCCCTGCGGGTACAGGGCCCAGGCACTCGGGCTGTCGGCCACTGCTCCCCAGGCCTTTAGCAGAGAGCTGGGTTGGACGCGGAGCAGCCACAACACAGGCCAGTGCCCTGTGGAATGCCCGTCACAGGAGCAGCTTTACCCACAGCGGCACAACGCTGGCTCCTGCACTTTTGTCCTTTGGAGAATTATTCTGAGTACTGCGTGGGCGTGGACCGCGGGGCAGAGGTCTCAGAGAGCAGGAGACCGGAGGAAAGCCGCGCCCAGGGCCAGGGCCGCCTCAGGCACAGCGCGCTGGAGGAACTTGGGATGGACGCCCTCTGGGTTTTCCACGAGCAGACACTGGAGCACTGGCTGTCGTCGGATAAGGACTGGAGACCCAGTGGGGAGCTCCCTGGGCTGGGGGCTCGCGGCCTTCCTTCCCTGGGCTTGCTCACCCGACAGTGCCGGGAGGCGAATGTGAAGCGTGTACCGTGAGTGGTGCTAGGGTGCAGGCCAGCGGCCCCGGGGCTCCCAGCACCCACGGGGCAGCGCTGCTCCCGTCCGTGCGTAGGCTCGCCAGCGCCTGCTCGGTACAGTGCACGCAGTCCCAGCCGCAGGGCGCGCTGTCCTCAGTTCGCGTGGTCACAGCTATCCACAGTGTGCATAAATGACGCAGCGTTACCTTCGTTGTCAATTCTGTGCTGCGAGTCTTTTATCTATTTATTCGTTTTTAAGATTTATTTAAAAGGCAGGGTGATGAAGTGAAGTGGGGAGATGGAGGAGAGATCTTCCGTTCACGCCCCACATGTCCACCACAGCCAGGGCTGGACCAGGCAGGGCCAGGAGGCCGGCACTCCGTCCAGGTCTCCGTGGAGGGGTCAGGGCGCACTCAGCGGGAAGCTGGACTGGAAGCGGAGCCGCCAGGTCTTGAACAGGAGCTCCAGCGGGCACTGGGTTCTGTCCTGGTTGCTCCTCTTCCCGTCCAGCTCTCTGCTGTGGCCCGGGAGTGCAGTGGAGGATGGCCCAGGTGCTTGGGCCCTGCACCCCATGGGAGACCAGGATAAGCACCTGGCTCCTGGCTTCAGATTGGCGTAGCGCCAGCCGTGGCGGCCATTTGGGGAGTGAACCAACAGGCGGAAGACCTTTCTCTCTGTCTCTCTCTCTCTCACACTGTGTATAACTCTACCTGTCAAATAAATTTAAAAAAAAAAAAAAGAACATAATGAATCAGGCATGGGTGATAGTGCGTGTGCTGTGTGCCTAAGCGTGCTGTGCGCTAAGACACTGTGTATAAAGTCGTGGTTCTGGCTTACAAACAGAAGAGTTGTGCAAAAGGAGCAGACATTGTTTTCTGTTTAAAATATCTTCATTTCTTTTTAAAAAATATTAGTTATTTGAAAAGCAGAGTTAGAGAAAGAGATCTTCTATCTACTGGTTCACTCCCAGATGTTTGCAAAGGCTGGGGCAGGATCAGGCTGAAGCCAGGAGCCAGGAGCTTCCGCCAGGTCTCCCACGTGGGTGCAGGAGCCCAAGCACTTGGGCCGTCGTCCTCTGCTTCCCCAGTCATGTTATAAGGGACCTGCGTTGGAAGTTTAGCAGCCAGGACTTGAACCGGCACCCACATGGGATGCCAGTGTCACAGGTGGTGGTTTAACCCACTACACCACAATGCCGGCCCCAAGTCATGCGTTTCTGACACTCTGGTTGGACTCTGAGATAAGATATCTTGTAATAATTTAATGCATTTAGATGATCACGTTTGTTACCGTAGTAATACATTAACTACACAAACACGTGACAGCCACCCCAGCTCTCCTCACCCCAAACAGCATGGGGATCTTTGAGCCGCAGCTTTCCTCAGCAGTGGGCGTTTGTGAGCAAACTCGTCCTCGCCAGGGGCTCTTGGTAGGCGCTGTCACGCCTCCTGGTAGTGTGTGTGCCCTGGTTAGAAAGCTGGCTTCCTGCTCTGTGGCAGACAGGTCTGGCGGGGCCCTTCCCCTCTGCTTTGCAAGGGCTGCCGTTCTGTCAGAGCGGGGTCCGGCCGGCCAGCCCACTGCCCTGACCCGGCGGTGGTGTGCACTTGGCCTGTGACCGCGGGAGTGGTGGTGGCGTCCTCTCTCCCTCCGCCTCCTCTCATTTCATTTTCTCTTTCAGTCCGAACAGCAGAAGAAGCAGCAGGAGGCCGAGAAGCTGCATCGGCAGGAGAGGAAGAAGCTGCGGCGTTCGGCTGGTCACCTGAGGTCCCGGCACCGGAGAGGCCGGCCGTTCCACTGAGCCCGGGCGGGGCCAGCACTTCTCCCCGGGCTGCTCGCCATCAGGGCCTTGGCCCGGGGAACGCATGCCACGGTTCCGTGTAAACAACTGTATGTGGAGGCGAGAGTTTCTAACGTGGCCTGTGCCACTGGGATTGGACTCGAACGGGGCGCCCGCCAGCTGGCCAGCGCTCGGTGCCGGGGTGCCCTCCCTGGTGTGGCCCCTGTAAACCGGCCCTTTCCCGGTGTGGTGAGCGGGCCAGGCCGCGGGTGGGCACCATGAGCTGGAAGGGTCACCCTGTCCTGTGTGCAGTGTCCCGATTAAACCACCAGAAGCACCACCCGTCCTGCCGGTGTCTTGTGTCGGCCAGCTTTGTGTCCAGAGGTGTGGACGGGTCTGTTTGCTGGCCTCCGTGTCCGTCTGCTAGTTGAAAACAAGCGCGCGTGCCAGTGCTGGAGCTGCTGGTCCCTCTGAACGGGCACAAGGTTAAAGCGCGGCCTCCTCCTCTCCCAAAGGGGATTCGAGGAGACATAAGAATCGGTGCTCCGTTGGATGCTTCCTGAGAACAGGTCAAACCTCGAGTTAACTTGGAAACCAGCCTTGCCGCCACCACGTGTTCCTCATATTAGTGTGATGTCAGAGGTGAGGTGGTGTGTGGGTTTTCAAGCCCATGGGCGCCCGAGAGCAGGGCTCTCTGGACTGGGAGTGTGGGTTCCACCTGCAAATGCTGTCAGCCATAAGGCCCAGTGCGCTGGGCGCGTGGCTATGTGGGAGCAGACTCTGTCCCCGGCTCCCACTCGCACTGTGGTGATTAGCGGGTGGGCTCGGGCCGTGGCTGTGTGGAGCTCCTGGTGGCCAGCCCCACTCACACCCTGGTGCTGAGCCCCCTGGCCTGTCCGTCCCTGCCCCCAGCTGCTTCCCCCGGCCTCTGTCCCTTGACCACCTCTCAGAAAACGGGGCTGCGGCTTCCTGGGCTCTCAGGGGTGGGAGCTGTGGATGAGGTGGGAGAAGGGCGCTGCTGCCAGACTTGCCCGGGGTGCCGATCACACGCAGAGCCACTGCCTGCGGGGCCGCGTCCCTGGGGGCCTCCTCGCTCCCGGGCTGCCAGTGCTGCGGGGCACTGAGACTCGGGGAGTCCACGTTCAGCAGCGGGGAGCAGTGTCGCTGGGAGGCGGGACCAGCGCGGTGGCCAGAGGTGGGCTCTGCGGCCACACCAGCCCAGGGCTGCCTGCCCGCTCTGGGTCCTTGGACAGTTTAACCTCTGCGTCTGAGGATTAAATGAGGCACTCGGGTTCGGCAGAGCCCCGCCCAGTGCCCTTTGTGGCTCCCCAGACCTGCAGATGGTGGGACCCCACAGATGTGTTGCCAGTTCACAGGTGCACGGTTGTGGTGCGTTAGGGAAGGCTTGCGCCTCCCGTGCTGGCCGAGGGTGGGGCCTTGCAGAGGGTGGGCTGCCGGGGCGGAACTGCCCAGCATAGATGAACCCCGTGCCCGGCGTCTCCCAGCCGCCTGGCTCAGCGTGCGCTGGTCCATCACCAGGTACCTGAACCAATAGGGCTGCCAGGTCGCGGACTGTGAACCTGAGACTAAGCGGAAATGCAGCTCCTGCCTGCCCGCTCCTCCCTCCTCCTCCCTCCTTCCCCCTCCATCCCTCTTCCCCTCCTCCTCTCCTCCCCTCCTCCGCTCCTCCCCCGCTCCCTCTCTGCCTCCCAAGAAGCCCCCCTCGGTGTTTTAACAGCAGTGACAAAATGCTGGCACACTCGGTGAAAAGGGTTGTTTTCTCAAAGTGCCACGTGCCCGCCATCACAAATCCACGCGCGTCTAAGCCTGAAGATAACTTGTCCTAGCTTTTGTCAAATATTTTTCTATTCTGTAGATGTAGACAGCACACATCTGTTTTGATAATACAAATGGGATCACACTATAGAAATTGTTCTTCAACCCATAATTTATATAACTTTGATTTGACTTAAAAATCTAAAAGAATCTTTCAAAATCATTTCTATAGTAAGTATAAGCCGTTATTTTTGAATTGAACATATTAACTTTGTGAAACATCAGCGTGAAATAAAATGATGGAAATGTCTTTAGTTTCGGTTTCCTTTGATGTATAGGACTTGAGAAAATTTTATTTCTAGTTAGGACAGAATTTTGGCTTCTTTTTAAATCCATCATTTGTTGTACAAGCAGAAGCGGCTGTTTTGTAACATACTTAGGTTAATCTTAGAAACACTCTTTTAAGTACCGTTTGTGTCATGTTTTATTTTGCCTGCAATTGAAATCATTAACATTGCTAAGACAGTGGCACGGCCCACCTGATTCCCCGCCAGTTTCCAGGGGAGGATGGCTGTGGGGTGAGGACCGAGCGAGCAGGGAGCCCCGTGGGAGTGGCGGGGGGGAGAGGGACGGAGGAAGAGGGGCCTTGGTGTGACTGCCTGCGTTTGGCACCAGAGCCAGTTTAACCCGGGCCACATCTCTCCTCGTCAGAGTGACAGCCCGAGTGTTCCGGGAGCTGGCCGCTCCACAGCGCTCCCCTAAGCCTGCTCATCGGGGTGACACTAACCTTGCTCTTTCTAGCACATCTGGGCACTGTCTTCAGCCAGGGCCTCTGCCTCTCCCCAGCCATCTCATGTCTCAGCCCTGGCCGGCCAGGACCGCCCATTTAAGCCGTTACACACCGCTGCTGGCACCCTGCCTTGCCTAGGTTGCAAATGATAGGTGACCTGCCATGTTTTGTTTCGTTTTGTTTATTTGAAAGTCAGAGTTAGAGGGAGGGAGAGACAGAGAGAGAGGGCTTCCACCCACTGTTCACTCCCCAAATGGCTACAGTGGCCAGAGCTGGGCTGGTCCAAAGCCAGGAGCCAGGTACAGGGTCCCAAGCACCGGGAGCCATCTTCCGCTGCTTTCCCAGGCACATTAGCAGGGAGCTGGATCAGACGTGGATCAGCCGGGGCTCGAACCTGCGCCTGTATGGGATGCTGGCATTATGGGCAGAGGCGTAGCCCACTAGCCACAGTGCAGGCCCCCAACATGCCATGTTTTCTTGAAGAACTTCCATCATGGACAATGTGGACTGTCCACCAAAGCGGAGGAGAGCTCCATGAGCACCCGCGGCCCCTCGCCAGCTCCGTCAGCCAGACAGACACCAACCGCCTCTTCCTCCTTTCCGCTGCCTTAGCATCTTGAGACCCCGGTCCCTGACACTGCCATCATGATTCGGTTGTTGCTGGTTGCCCCTCGCACACCCACGGCCAGAACAGGCTGTAGGCCAGTCAGGGTGGGGCGGGGTGAACCCTCCACTGTCCATCCAGCATCCAGAGCAGGGCACAGACAGGTTAACTGGGGGCTCACGTCGCGTGGATGAGGACGGAGGCTGACCCTGGTCTCATAGCAGTCGGTGGTTCTCACGGTCTCATAGCAGTCGGTGGTTCTCACGGGCCAGGAGCTGTTTCAGAGGCAGGGCCTGGTGCCAGGGGCCCGGCTGGAGTCGCTGAGCGTGGAGAGGGAGGCAGGGACGGTGATCCGGGCAGCTCCTGGGAGCAGCGTTTGGATCCGCGGAAAGTGGGATCGAGACGGGAGGAACGGCGGCGCGCCTGTCCCTCTGGGAACCGTCCAGGAGCGGGGAGACAGCAGTGGCAGCGACGGTTACGCGGGTGACAGCCATAGAGTGGGCAGTTCCCTAGCAACGTGAGGGGGCAGGAACTGGGGAGCAGCTCGGCCGGGTGCTGACTCCGGGCTTCTCCTTGGGGTGCAGAAAGACGTCCCTCAAGGGTGAGCTCATCTGAAGCCTTCCAGGCTCGCACGCGGGGCGGGCGGTGGGCAGCAGGCCTCAGGTCCTTGCGACGTGGCCCTCCAGAGCGGCCTCACAGCACGGCACCCCAAGAGACAGCGAGAGCGAGGCGGGAGCCACAGTCTCCTGGGGCCGCGGGGGCCCGGGCTGCTCGACAGCACCAGCCCTCGTCCACGGTGGAGCGTCAGCCAGGGTCGCCAGGTAAAATGGGGCGCCCGTCAGAGCTGGATCTCAGAAAAACCCTCAACTCGTCAGGAAACGTGGCCCAAACAGAGGTGCTCTGGCAACGCGGGTTAAGTGGCCACCTGCGATACCAGCGCGCTCGCTCGCTCCCTCTCTGCAACTCTGTCTTTCAAATAAATGAATAAATCTTAAAAAAAAATCCAGGGCATTAGAGAGGCGGGTGTGGGAGGAGAGATCTTCCACCGTCTGGTTCACCCCTCAAATGTTTTTAGGAGCTGGGGCTGGGCCAGGCCAAAGCCAGGAGCCCAGAGCTGCATCCGGCTCTCCCACATGGGTGCAGGGGCCCAGGCACTTGAGTCATGATCTGCTGGCTACCAGGATGCATTAGCAGAAACCTAGACCACAAGTGGAGTAGTGGGGCTGGCGCTGTGGCGTCGCAGGTAAAGTTGCCGCCTGCAGTGCCGGCATCCCATATCGGCACTGGTTTGAGACCCGGCTGCTCCGCTTCTGAGCCAGCTCTCTGCTACGGCCTGGGAAAGCAGAAGATGGCCCAAGTCCCTGGGCCCCTGCACCCGCATGGGAGACCAGGAAGAAGCACCTGGCTCCTGGCTCCTGGCTTTGGATCGGCACAGCTCTGACCGTTGCAGCCATATGGAGTGAACCCGTGGATGGATGGAAGACCTCTCTCTCTCTCTCTCTCTCTCTCTCTGCCTCTGCCTCTCTGTAACTCTGCCTTTCAAATAAATAAATCTTAAAAAAAAAAAAAAGTGGAATAGCCAGGACTTGAACCAGCACTTGGGCATCATAAGAGGCAGCTTAACTCCCTGTGCCACACGGCACGTGCCATAGACGAGTGGTTTTTAGACTATAGACAAGCACTATGACTGATTATTTGATGATTTCATTGACATCTCCAAGAAGTTTATATCTCCCAAGTTGGCATAAGTTTTCTTTTCCTTGGGAAAATATGGATTTGCCGTATACTCAGACATCTATAATAACTTTATTAAGGACAGTACACATTCTCTCTCTCTGCTTCTCCTTCTCTCTGTGTAACTCTGACTTTCAAATAAATAAATAAATCTTTAAAAAAAAAAAAGGATGGTACGCATTTCTTTGAACACGTGCAGAAAATTCCATTACCTTAAATTTTTTTTAAGATTATTTATTTAAAAGGCAGAGTTACAGAGAGACAGAGAGCAAGATTTTCCATCCGCTGATTCACTTCCCAAACGGCCGCAACGGCCACAGCTGGGTCACTCGGAAGCCAGGAGCCTCTTCCAGGTCTCCCATTGGGTGCAGGGCCCAAGCACCTGGGCCGTCTTCTGCTTTCCCAGGTGCATTAGCAGGGAGCTGGATCGGAAGTGGAGCAGCTGGGACTCGAACCTGCGCCCGTATGGGATGCCAGACCACAAGCAGCAGCTTTACCCACTACACCACGGCACCAACCCAGTTACTTTTTCTTGAAATTAACTTTTATCCACATAAAAACTTTCCAGAAGCGATTGGCACAGTAAGAACCTGGCGTTGCTACTGCGTGAGCCACGTGGGGCTTCGTGCGCTGCCACCTGCCCTCCGGGGCCACAGTCAGGCTGCGAAGGCCCGTCCACCGAGACGTGACGCTCAGGGCAGGAGCGCGGGGGACCTGGGCCGCCTCCCTGCAGCTGGGCGGAAGCCGCGTCCTCGTCGGCTTCCTGCCTAGTGAGAGTCCCGCACACGTGGCGCTGTCTGTGATGACTTTAGGCCCAGGTGGGCTTCAAAGCTGTGGGCTGGGAGGAAAGCCAGCCCCATTCTCCAGCCGCCTTGGGTTTCCCTCAGATGGGGAGCGGGCTCCTGGCTCCTGACCGACGCCTGCCCAGTTCCACCACTCTCCCCGATGGACGCGGGCCCTCTCTCTCTCCGATCAGCGCTCCGACTGGGAGCTCAAACCTTCACCCCCACCATCCCCCCGCCCAGCTTCCTCTCTTCCTCCGCCCTGGCCGTTTGCCAAGGGTTCTGCAAGGCAGGTTTGAGTCCTGCTGTCGGCCCACTCCCCACGTGGCCACCCCCGCCCCCGCCCCCGTACAATCCCGCCTTCAGCCCTTCTGGTCCAGTCTGGCTCCAGGGACCTGAGGCTAAAGCCACAGCCACTGTTGGTTCAGCCACTGTGCCGTGACCACGCTCTGCTGGAGCTGACGCCCCCCCCCCCCCGCACTGGGAAGATGGGCGGGCCCAGCTGGGCACACACAGGTGGCGAAGCCCCCGCAACGGCCAGGGTGGGCATGGGCCACAGAGCCCTTCTCGGCTCCGCAGCCTTGGCGTGCCCTCCACGGAGACCTCCCCAGCCCCTCGCCTCCTCTACGTGGACCAAGGCCAGCAGCACACGGGGGTCCCAGGGCAGGCTGTGGCGCAGGGCCTGGCAAACCCTGGATAGGGCCTCACCAGTGAACACAACCGTAGGCGAGGGAGAGCTGGCGCCAGCAGGGGCTTGCTCCCGGCGAACTTGCCAGTTGGTGGCCAAGTCGCTTAAGCCGTCCGTGCCTCGATGCCTGCATCTCTAGAATGGGTTTAATGGCATCTGCCCCCCGAAGACTGCAGAGGGTGTCTGTGGAGCTTAACCAGAGGGGCATAGGACGCCTCGGACACAGGTGCCGCCGCGCACGGGGCACCGTTGTAATCAGCGCTCCACTCCCCACGCCAGGTTTTAAGAGGATCCCCATGACGACCGGCTCGTTTGAAAAAGCACGCGTGTGACAGGCGTGGCGGCGTCCTCACGCCATGAAGTGAACTTTATCTCGCTGACAACCGCACAGCCATCGGCGACAGCCCGACCCCCCGCCGCGGCCAGGCGCCGCCACGCAGTGGACGCTGCCGGGTGGGCGTGTTCCCAGCGCCTGCACTTGGGGCTCTGGGCCTTGGTGGGGGCCCAGGGCTGGTTTGGGGGCCCGAAGCATGCGTGTGCACGCATGTGGAGGCCGCGTGTACGGCAACGTGAAGGCCGGGGCCGAGAAGCTTCGAGGTCGTTTGAGCCATTTCTGCCCCAGGGCTGGGCCGGGCACGGAGGGCCCTGCCTTCTGTCCACGTAGCCCAGTTCCCTCCTAGCCCCTGCCTGCCTCAGCTTTTACTGCTATTTT